CCCCAAAACCCCAAAACCCCAAAACCCCAAAACCCCAAAACCCCGATGTAGCTCATCTACTTATTATCAGAGATATGTAATAAAATAAACAGATAATAAAAAAAGTTTTATTTTTAAGAATGGATAAGATATCACCTGAATTAGAGAACTTTCCTTAATTCAATGAGTAGGAGGATAAGATCTTTTTGAAAGATTTTGAATTAGAGCAGAATGAGCATTTCATCAAGTTTGTGTTTATACCATATTTCAAAGATATCTATTTGGATCTGTTTACAAAGAGTGATAAGGCAGGCAAAGGTATCAATAAAATCGTGTTTTAGGAGGTATGATTTGACAATTCTTTAACTAATGTTGTTTAGTATGCTAACTTGCCAGGATTGCTAGGTGAAAGATTGTTTAAAATTATTGATGAAAACGGTGACTAGTTCCTAGATTAGAAGGAATTCATTCATGCAATGTTTAAGATATACTATTCCAAATTAGAATCAAAGATTAAACTAGTTTTTGACATGTAAGTATTGGCAAAAGTGTTTATAAATGATCATAAAGATATGATTTTGACGCTGATGGATATATTTCAAAAGAAGATATCAGAATAGTTTTATCTCACATCCCTATGTCCGTAAGTAGTATCTTTCATTTTATCTATATAGAACGACCAAAGTAGATCACTTCCCAAAGGTTAAAAAGAGGGCATGTTTACATAAAAAGGAGGTGGAAGGTAATACATAAAATGGCTTCACCAAAATATAGTGATAATTTCCAAGATAGAATCTAAACATAGTCGGAAATATTAATGTACATTCAAAACTGCTTTAATTTCCTGGGGCACAAATCTTTTATTGATATCAATGAGTTCACTAGAATTAACGAAGAATTTTCTTCTGAGATGCTTCTATCAGTAAATAATTCATTCAACTAAGGATAATTTGTAGATTATGAGTGTGCTATAAGACTGTCTGCCTTGCTCAGATAACTTTTTCAGATTCTAGGGCAATTATGATAAATTTATGCAGAAGAAAGCAAGAGAAACTAACTCTCCGATTTCATATTCACCACCAAGGCAGTTGGCCTCTCCCAAATAGATTGGTAGACTCTCACCTATCAACAACTTGCTAAATAAAGAGTAATAAATGAGAAAACAGATGCTAAATATTGATACATAAGCCTAGTAGAATTTATTAAGATATGCTGCAAACAAAGACCATATAGATAAATTGAAGGAAATGAGAGTAAATGAAGATGAGATAATAGAAGCAAATATTAAAGCTAAAAATGAATAGATTGAACAGCAGTTAATTGATTAAATGCAGTTGTCTCTGACACTTGAAGATAAAGATAATACAATAAATTCAATCCCTATATCTAAATTCAAACCTAATTAAATACAGATGATGGAGGGTAAACTGTGTAAATAGTAATCGATTTAAGACAAGGAGGAAAGTAAATCTGAGCCTAAATCTCCAGTACATTTCCGCGAAGCTATTAGACTTCCAAATATCGGTACTCTGAAATCAAAGTTGGAAGAGGGCTATGACAATAAACTATAAACAGAAAATGAGGCTATTAATTCACCAACTAACTTCCTCAGCAAATAAAATTAAGGCTCCAGTCCTTAATCAAATTAAATAGTATTTGATAACTTCATGTCTTCAACAAAGTTAGAAGAATATGACTAGTATGAAGGAGAAATATTGAGAAAAGCTCCTGGTGGTAAATACAAAAGATATTGGTTCTGTCTATTAGGAAAAGAGCTTTATTGCTATAAGAAAAAGAACGAGGAAAAGCACAAAGGAATGCATAGTTTAGTAGGTGCATTTATTAAGGAGGATGAGCCAGAGCTGCTCCCAGACGGTCAAAACTACATCTATCCATTTAGGATCATTTTTCCTCCAAATAAAAGCAGAACATATTATTTATTGGTAAAATCTGAAAGAGATAGTTGGCTTAAAGTAATTAAGGCAGCTATAGGTTATGCAGTTATTGAAGATTTCTATGAAATCAAATAAGATCTTGGAAGAGGTAAATTTGGTTAGGTAAAGTTAGCTATTCACAAAAAGACATAGAAAAAAGTTGCAGTTAAAGTCATCAAGAAAAAAGACATGAGTTTAGGAGAGGTCGAACTGTAAAAAAGAGAGATTGAAGTCTTAAAGATCTGTTAACATCCAAATATCATTCGGCTGTTAGATGTTTTTGAAAATCCAGATTATATTTATATCGGTAAGTTATTTTATTAACGATGTTTTTAGTCCTTGAGCATATGGCTGGAGGAGATCTATTTAATTATCTTGAGAGAAGAGAGTTCAAAATAACTGAAGATAAAGCTAGAAATCTAACTCATTAAATTGCCTCTGCTTTATATTATCTACATAGCTATGGTATCGTTCACAGGGACATTAAATTAGAAAATATCTTAATGGTAGATTAATCAAATGATAGTGAACTGAAGCTAGTAGATTTTGGCCTTTCTAAAATTCTTGGTCCAAATGAGACAACAAATGATCCTTTTGGAACTTTGGTAAGATATAATCATTCTTAGCCTTTCATAGTCATATGTTGCTCCAGAGGTACTACTTCAAAGACCATATGCAAAGAGTGTTGATCTTTGGAGTCTTGGTGTGATCATTTATATTCTTTTGAGTGCTATGCTACCATTTGATGCTGATGATTAGAAGGAAGCAGCTAGAAGAATCATCTATGAGCCTGTTCCATTTACTCATCCAATTTGGGACTTTGTTACCGTAGAAGCAAAAGATCTTATTGCCAGTAAAAATCACCAATCTTATCAATTATAGGATTACTTGACAAGGACAGATATAAAAGAATCACTTTAGATGAAGTGCTGACTCATCAGTGGGTATGCAAGAGAAATATGGATATCTAAGAGATGAGAAGAAAGTCAGGAGATCTTGAAAAATTTGTACTTTATACAAATGCTAACCTAGATAAAAACACTCTATAAAATCAGCAAAATAGCGCCGCAATTCAAAGTACTTCAAACAATATGAACCCATGAATAGACTTGATATATTTGCTTCCTTAAATTCTAATAATTAATATACTTTACCTCCAACACTCCCAATTTTATCTGCTGGGGTTTTGGGGTTTTGGGGTTTTGGGG